AAGAACATATAATTAAACTATGAAATCAAAATTTAATTTTCTCTCTTCCAAATTTATAAACAGGTGGTATACTCATTGCTTGTATTCGAGGTATAGGTTATTTGAAAAATCAGTCCTTTGAAAATTCCATTTTGAAAAACGACACGTGGAACGACACGAAGTCTGCTTTGCACTGACACGTTCTGACTTAGACTAGTTGGGAGGAAGAGACGATAAGGCATCACCGGAGAGTTTTCTAAGTTATTGTATAAACAAATATTTACGTTTAAGAAAGCTAAATACTGAACAATTGCAGAAGTTAGATATACTTGATTTATGTTAAATATCATTAATGTTCGTTCAATATATAATACTCTTATTCTCTTCTTAACTGAATATTCAGAAGAAAATGTCACATTTATTAAGATGTGTTACAAACTTGCAATAAGAGGATCCTTGTAAACTTAAGGAAAAAGTGCAGGTACAAGGAATCAAACACTAATGACATCATTAAAAAACAAACATTTTGTTATTTATTCATGAGACTGATCTCTCTGTTCTTNGATGTTCTTAAAGATCTTAGAACTTTTATCAAAAATCTTTGCTCTTCTGTTATAATCATTTGGGTCTCTCCCATCATCATCTCCCATAATAGCTTCTTTCTCAAGGCACTCCAAAAGTTCCCATACTCCTCTGTTCGCCTCTCCGCCGCAAATCCCTCTTCTCTGAGTTAGCTCCTCTTCCTCCGGCTTAATTGGCTCCATTGCCGCTGCATAACCGGAGCCTGAAGCCACACATCTAGCTGTACCAACCCACCTCTCCTTCTTCGACTTAAGGCTCAGTTTGGTCTGTTGGATTGCTTTGACCGGAGCTAGGGTTTGATGAGGTCTCGGAGATGGGTTTGTGATGATCTTTCTGCAAGTTTGAGACATAACTTCCATTGTTTTTTTCTTGATTGTGTTCTTCTTTTAAGTTGAACATCAAAAGGTTAGGATTCTTTGGTGGTTTATATAAGGTTTGGAGGGTGCTAAAATGTGACGCATGAACACACGTCATTTTTTACACGTGTGAGAGTCATGATGAGTAAGAGAGTTTTCGAGATTCTCCAGCCATGTTTCTTGTGGCACGTGTCTGGAAGATTCTTTTGCCGACCTTTATTTGACTTTTTTTTCTACTTTATCCTCAAAGTTCTTTGTTTAGTAAGCTTACGGTTCAAAATCAGACAGACACGTTATATCATCTATGTCGGTTCTTGAAATTGCACCTAGAGTCAGATCATCTTTTGGAATTAAATATGAACCAAACCAAACCGAAATCGACACGGTACAGTTTGATTTCTTATCTATTTATTTATACCTATAAAATGGGAAATCACTTTTCCTACGTATCGACTCTACAACTAGTTTGAAACTTGATTTACCGAAAATATCCTTAACATTCGATTTAATTACATTCAATTGCCATCGGATTTTTTTACCAAAAATTATTCATACGTGTTATGATTTTTATTGGATGTAATTCTTATTAAGCCCATCAAAATATATTGATGTTAAGTCCAGATTTTAATAGTCCATAAAAAAAAAGTCGGCAAAACAAAAACTAACGAAATTATATAAATACTGAAAATTCAAGAAGAATTATAAACCCTAGCTAGTTAAACGGCGATGACAATTTTGATATAGAGCTCTATCTTTCTACTTATTTTTATGAGAAACAAATGTTCTTCACTGATTTGGTGCGGCGAATTTGATATTGATTTCAAGGGTCTGTTTCAAAAGTTTATTGTTAGAAGAGATCATTCNATCAGTAGAGGTTTTGATGTAGCTCAAAAATCCGAAACATAAACCCTTTGTTGACCNGAATCTGTAGCTGAATCTTCTTACTCATGGTATCGCTGGCTCTATTGTTTATGCCGTATGGAAACAAAGAGCGTGTTTGGGGTAAGATATTTGGTGCCCATCACAAGTTTCAGACAATTTGATATGGTCTCAATTTGATCCTTCAACTGGTAAAACTGATTCTTCATTGTCATCCGCGTTTGAGCGGTCGTATTTAGGGGTTTTGATATGGTCTCAAGTTACGAATGCAGTTTGGCTTTTGGTTATGGTTGCAAGTTTGATTTGTTTAGGCTGAAGATATGTTTAGTTAGATAAACCATCAGCTTTGTTTGTTAAACTTGTTAACACACATATGGAGCTCACAATGAATGGAAGAAAATCCAGTAGATGGAAGGATGATGATCTGAGATCGTGAAGGATTACTGATGGAGTATGTTTTGGTGCATCAAATTTATGATATTGGTTATAAAGGTCTGTTTNAAGGGTTTATTATTAGAAGANATTCCATCAGTAAAGGTTTTGATATAGTCCAAAANCCATAATCNNAAATCCTACGTTGACCCGAATCTAGGGCGAGTTCTTATTATTCCTGGCTCAATTTTTTATGCCATACGAGAACAACGAGCGTGTTTGGGGTGAAGATCTTTGGTACTCATACCGATCACAAGTTTTAGACACAGATGTGTGGTCTCAATAGATAGACGACGTAACTTTTCTTAAGTATTTTTTTTTGTTTTGCATGTTTTATTGGAGTTAGATCATTATTATGGTTTGATTTTTTGTTTCTAACTTCGTAGATCTGTGTGATGCTAATTTTTATGTTGGTGAGTTGTTATTACTCTTGTGGTCGTTAATTATATTAACTTTTNGTTTGATCTGCATTTCTTTTATTGCTTTTTTTTGCTTATAAATTTTGTGTTCGTTTTTTTTTATGTCAAAGTAATTTGTTATTATGTCTGGTTTTGATTTTAATTATTTTTTTATTATATTGTCTTTATTTTTTTTATCGATTTAAAACAATATAAATTTGGTATCAAAATACCAGTCACAATTCTCAATCTACCATATTTCATGTCATTTTAAACCTAATTTTGTGATTGTGTTTTTTATTGTTTAATGTTACGAAGAAGAATGCCTCTAGACAAAGAAAATTAGGAAATCAAAAGCAAAACTATATTTTTAGAAAAAAAAAAAAAGCAAAACTATTAAAAGGTGATTAAAAACATCTATGTTTATAAATTTAGTGTTTCTTTTATAGTCTCATTTTTCAAAGACCATATGTCCCTCACATATAAAGAGGTTACCAGGCCAAGATCTATTAAAACGAGTGTTCGCATGATAGAGTATCAACGATGGTAAATTCAAATCATTATACTCTTATTCAATTGATTTTTTTTTTAATTTTCCTTTAATGTAAGTAAATTTGTTATCATTTGATCGAGTTGTAGAAACACAAGAAAGATATGACAATGGAAGAAGCTCATTGATTTGCTCACGGTATGTTTCTTAAATAACTTGATTTTTTATAGTTCTGTTTCGTGTTTAATATTTCAACAAGTTTAAATCTTTTTTCCTTCTAGATTGCTATATTACATGGCAGTCAAACCAAGTTTTTTACGACAGAGCTGATATACTATTATATTAAGAGCTACCTCCATCGATAAAGAGGTTTAGATTTTTTGTCTCACTTGATTAGGCTAAACCCTGGTAGACTAAACATGAGCTAAAAAGAGTGTAGATTTGATGAATTTTGTCCTCTCAATGCATGAGATTGCAAGTAACTTGAAATTCACATTAAAAACTGAAATTTAATTTGTATAGTTAATTTGATGGAAACTTAATGGTTTGAGTCTTCTTGGATTCAAGGTTGTTAAAGGCTTTGGGAGCACCGAGTGATGCATCA